TACTCCTTTTCCTATTTGGAACCAGTCTGTTGTTCCATGTCCAGTTCTAACTGTTGCTTCCTGACCTGCATACAGGTTTCTCAAGAGGCAGGTCAGGTGGCCTGGTATTCCCATCTCTTTCAGAATTTTCCACAGTTTATTGTGATCCACATAGTCAAAGGTTTTAGCATAGTCAATAAAGCAAAAATAGATATTTTTCTGGAACTCTCTTGCTTTTTCGATGAGCCAGCACATGTTGGCAATTTGATCTCTGGTTCCTCTGCCTTTTCTAAATTCAGCTTGAACATCTGGAAGTTCACGGTTCACATATTGCTGAAGCCCAGCTTGGAGAATTTTGAGCATTACTTTACTAGCGTGTGAGATGAGTACAATTGTGTGGTAGTTTGAGCATTCTTTGGCATTGCCTTTCTTAGGGATTGGAATGAAAACTGACCTTTTCCAGTCCTGTGGCCACTGCTGAGTTAAAAATAGGAGTAACTGAAGATTCCTGCTTTGCTGTGAGGGTGCTGTGAAGTAACACCAGGAAGGCCCTCGTGGTAGTGCCCAGCACATAGTAAAGTCCAGTAAGTATTTTCTGGGATTATGATTTTTTTTGTTACTCAGGCTGAGTCTGTGGGTGTGGTGCTGGAGGTGACCTTCACCTTGCTTCTCCTTGGCAGATGAAGTGCGTCTTGGTGGCCACAGAGGGTGCGGAGGTCCTCTTCCACTGGACAGATGGGGAGTTTGAAGAGAGTCTGCGCCTGAAGTTTGGACAGACAGAGAATGAGGGAGAAAAGGTGAGTGCAGGGCAGGAGGGTCAGACAGGCGGGAATAGCACAGCGCTGTCAGGAAGCAGGGGAGCCTGCCCACCCGCCCTGGCCCAGGGATGAACAAGGCTGAGTGTGGCACCTCTGTGGCACCTCTGGCACCTCTCACACCCACACATCCTCAGAGATTAGCCCTTGGTGCTCTGGAAGGCCGTGACCCACCCTCACCCCGGGAGATTTTGAGCATCTTGTCATATGCTTATTTTCTACTTTATATCTTCATTAATGAAGTGTCTCTTCAGGTCTTTGGCCTATTTTTTGTTGCATTGCTTATTTCTTATTATTCTTAGCAAGTTTTGAAAGTTTCCTAGGTGTTATGGATATGTCCTTTAGTAGATACATGTTCTGTAGATATTTTCTTCCAGTCTGTGTCTTGTCTTCGTATCTACTGCACAATATCTTTCAAAACAGATATTATTAATATGATAACTCCATGTTATCCACTTTTTGCTTTTATGGATCATACTTTTGGTGTCATATCTAAGAAACCTTTGCCCAACCCAAGATCACAAAGAACTTTCCCCATATTTTCTCCTGGAAGTTTTCTAGTTTTAGGTTTTATGGTCTGATGATCCACTTTGAGTTTTTGTATAGATTGAAGTTTATTTCTTTGCATATAGATATCCAGTTTAATACTTTAATATGACAACTCGGCGACAGTTGTCCTTTTCATTTAGATAAGTTCTACTGTACATTCTAAAAGAATAATTTATTTTGGAATTTTTTCCAGATTAATTTTGTATTGAACACTTTGTTATTGAGGATCCAGTAGAGAGTCCTTGCATTTCTGCAGCCACACAGACTGGTTGCCTCTCAGTGTCCTTCCTGGCCCAGTGGGCCTGGTCATCAGCTGTGCCATGTCAGCAAGTTAGTTCACCTCAACATCACTGATACTCTTTAGGAATAATGCAACGTATCAGAGATCATAGACATTTAAGTGATTTTATTTAAGCTAAAAACAGGTCTATCTTTTAGGCTCCTTTATTTTTTAGTAGTCAATATACATAATTTTTAAATTAAGAATTTTTAAGTATTTTAGTTCTTAAACCATTGTATCAGTATGGTCTAAAAATTTAAGAGGCAGACGATTTGATAATGTTTCTCTTCCTCTTTTTAAAAGAAAGGAAGAAATTCTTCCTTCCTCAGAAAGGAAGAAATTCTGATTTTTCAGTTCCTAAATGACTAGCATAAAGAAAAAAAGTCTTCAAAGTTTTATTTCTCTTGGATAAAACACTTTTCCCCCCTGGTCCTATAAATAACATGACTTAATTGTAAGAAATTTGGGAAGTAACAGAGAAATAGTTTTTAAATGACCCATAATTCTTCTACCTCAAGCTATTAGCTCTTCAATATATTTTCTTTGGGTTTTTATCTTTTACAAATAGTTGAGATCATACCACACTTACAGTTTTAATTCCTGGGTTTTTTTCACTTGCCGTTATAGAAAAAGCATTATTCCATTTTGTTAAATATTGTCAAAAGCATAAATCTTAATAGAAACATTATATTCAGTATATGAATAAATATAGCATCATTTATTTAGCCATTTCCCTGGTACTTGACATGTATATTGCTTCTAGTTTGCTATAGCTATTGCTGTTGGGAACATTTGTGCTTGAATTTTATCCCACATCTCATTATCTCCTTAGGATAAATTCCTAAAAAAGAATCATTGATTCAAAAGCCATTCAAAGATATTGTACCACTTTATAACCACACCACATATCAATAATACAAGAGAATTCTCTTTACACCCTAACTACACCAAAGATTATCATTCCCCCACCACGCCACCAAAACAAAAGAATTCTTGTCACACCTGTATACCTAGTGAAAGCTGCTACTTTTAAAATGAGTTGCTGTACACCATCTAGGTTTTTAAGTCACATTTCTATTAATGTAATTGATTCATGACAGTTCCAGAAAATTATGGTACATGAATAATTCAACCAGCATTTCCCTATGTGAAGGGATATTTATTCAACAAATACTAATCGAGAATCCACTATTCGCCAGCCTCTCGGGGCCAAAGCAGTAAATGTAGCAACATGACCCTGCACTCGGAGAATTTAGAGGATAAAGATGAACCAGATGGCAAATACTGTGGGTTTTTTTTTAACCAGAGTGTGGGATGGGGCAGGCTGGGGTGGGGTGGGCCTGGGGATGGTCAGGAGAGGAGCCCCCTGAGCTGGGACCTATTGAAGCTGACTGGCAGTCCCTGCAATAGTGGACACGGGCCTGGGTTCCTGAATGTCCAGTCTGTGGGAGGAAATTAGGCCCCACATGCCGTAGCCCCCTTTGTATTTCAAGTGCCGCACAATACCCCTGGCCACTTGCCTGTTTTTCTTTTCAAGGCCAGGTCTTACTCAGCTTCTTGTAGCCAGGTTAAAACTAGGACTCTGCTTCCTCCCTGTTTCAGTCAAGGCCCCTGAGATCAGCATGGGGAAGGTCAGCTGTGCCCTTGTACCTGTTCATTCTTGTGTCAAGAACTTGACTTATTACCATTCACCCTGACCTTATTCCATTTTCATTCACAGATCTTCAGCATATCTGTCCAGTTTCTTCTTGGTTTTGTTTGTTCTGTTCTTTATTTGGAATGCGGGGGAATGGATGAGGGAAGAGATTATAAAAGTAAAGGCATGCTTGTCACCGAACTAGGAAAGTATAGAAAGATACAAAAACTAGGGGGAGAAATCATTCCTGATCCTCCTGTTCAGAAGCAATCACTTTAATGATGTTGAATTTTTAAATATTTTTCAATACTTTGTTTTTCTGTGCATTGAAAGTACAGAGCATTCACAACCTTTTTTTAAAAACATGACACTGTATCGTAGGAATTTTCCACGTCACTGAGGTGCTCTGATATTTTAAGTGCTTTGTATCTTCTCATTGTTCAGATGTACTATTGTATATTAAACTCTTTCCCTGGTACTAGACATTTACATTCTCTCCAGTTTCTTCTGCTATAAATGATGCTGCAGGGAGCATTTTTGTGCCTGTATCTCTGCCCCATTTCTGATTGTTTTCCTGAGGTTGCTTTCCCTGAAAGAGACTTACTGCAACAAGGGGCCTGGACTTTGGTGCACATGTCAAACTTTCCTAGAGTCGGCTTCCTCTGTGGAAGCATGGCCTAATTCCTTATCTTTCCTTCCAGAATTAAGGCCTGAACAATGCAATTAGCTGCCTAACCTTTCCCAGTCTTCCTGACCCAAGATTTGGGGCAGGGTCTCCCTGTCAGGACAGTGACAGTCTCCTGGGTGTGTCTAGAACTGTGGAGCCCTTGACGTCAAGTTCCGGGTCTTGTCCATTCCTTTGGCCCCAGGGTCTGGCCCCCTGAGCAGTGTTGTTCTCTACCCCCGCTTGCAGCCTCCCGCCCTGGAGGACCAGCTTAGCACCCTCCTGGCCCCGGTCATCATCTCCTCTGTGACCATGATGGAGAAGCTCTCGGACACATACACCTGCTTCTCAACGGAAAATGGCAATTACCTGTATGTCCTTCACCTGGTGAGTGTGCCGCCCTGAGGCCCGTGTTCCTCTGCCCCTTGGTTCCTCGGACAGTGCACACGCCTCTTCCTCATCTTGAACCGCAGACTCCTTTAGAAGGCAGATGCTGCATCTTAGCAAAATCCCCTGGGAACTGACCACCCCCCGCCCCCTCTCCCATCTCTGTCCCTGGGGGCTGGCTGACATCAGCTGATTTCTGTGCCTGCAGTTCGGAGAATGCCTATTCATCGCCATCAACGGAGACCGCACAGAGGGTGAAGGGGACCTGCGGCAGAAGCTGTGCATGCTCAAGTACCTGTTTGAGGTGCACTTTGGGTTGGTGACCATGGATGGACAGCTCATCCGAAAGGAGTGAGTCCTGGGGTGCTGTGCTGAGCCCCTCTCAAGGCCTTGGTGAAGCTGCTGGTCCCACTCTGCCCCTGTTCCTTCCTGGCACCTCCCTGGGTCTCTCTAGCTGACGTTTGTCATGTATGTGTGAGCGAGAGGCCGAGAAATGAGGTGAGTTGCTCAGGCACCTGCCTCCCGGTTCCACCCCTGTCCCACTCTGTTCCTTGGCAAGAGCGCAGCCAGATGCACCCCCACTGTGTGTGGGTCCCCCGGTTGTGCTGTGTGGCTCCTCCAGGTGTGCTGTGGGACTCCCCCCCAGCTGTGCTGTGTGGCCCCCCAGGTGTGCTGTGTGGTTCCCCAGGTGTGCTGTGTGGTTCCCCAGGTGTGCTGTGTGGCTCCCCAGGTGTGCTGTGTGACTCCTCCCCAGGTGTGCTGTGTGGCCCCCCCAGGTGTGCTGTGTGGTTCCCCAGGTGTGCCATGTGACTCCCCCCCAGGTGTGCTATGTGGTTCCCCAGGTGTGCGGTGTGGTTCCCCCCAGGTGTGTTGTGTGGTTCCCCAGGTGTGCTGTGTGATTCCCCAGGTGTGTGGTGTGGTTCCCCAGGTGGCCGTGTGACTCCCCCCCCAGGTGTGCTATGTGGTTTCCCCAGGTGTGCTGTGTGGTTCCCCAAGTGTGCTGTGTGGCTTCCCCCAGGTGTGCTGTGTGGCTTCCCCCAGGTGTGCCGTGTGGCTTCCCCTGGGTGTTTGTCACGGGAGCTTGCCCAGCTCTGACAGTGATCTCAGACTGCTCCTTTGGTTAAAGCTGGGGACACCACTTTTCTGTGGGTCTCCCTTGCTCTGCCCCAGGCTGCGGCCCCCGGCCTTGGAGCAGCGTGAGCAGGTGTGGGGGCGCTTCCAGAGCCTGCTGTGGACCTACAGCCGCCTGCGGGACCAGGAGCAGTGCTTCGCCGTAGAGGTGACTACTGGGTGCGGGAGTCCTCGGGCCACAGAAGTGTCAGGCCACGGGGGCCGGGCAGCGTTGAGACCATGCTCTGACATCTGCCCCCCACCCCAGTGAGTGAGGGCACCAGCAGCCCGCTAAGCTCATGCATTTCAGAGGGTTGCTCTTTCTGGCTTCACAGTTAGGCATTCTGATGGGCCTCCCTACAATAACACAGCTAGACTTTGGGTAAAACAGACTTCTTGAGTGCAGTTTTTGGGCTCAGTAAATTATGGAAATTTCTGAAGTTAGCTCCCTCGCCTCTGATCCCTTCCCCCAAATTATATTGAGCTGAAACTAGAGTAGGAAGTAGTAAAAAGTAAGCAGCACTAAAGTCAAGATTGCCTGAGTGCAAATGATGGTACCAAGCTACAGCCAGCGAAGTACGCCTCCGGCCAGCGGCAAAAAAACTGAGCCTCAACTCCTGCTTAAGTGCAGATCCGAGGAGTAGGCTGGTCATCAGTAGCACCCCCTTGCTCCCTATTGTAGACAAACACAGATTCTCTGTAGATCAGAGAATTGGTTCTCCTCTTTGTATGCATCAGAACCATCTAGAGGACTTATTAGGTGCCTGGGCTTCACTTTTCTCAGTCAGTTAGGCATTGAGGATGGGAGGCTCTATAATTTGCATTTTGAACAAGTTCCCAGGTGACGCTGCTTATGCTGGTCTGGGAACTACATGTTGAAAGCCACTGATTTAGAGAACAGATGAAGAGCAGCAAGTGTGAGCTCACCGTTAACAGTCAGGTTCGCAGGAGAATGAGCCGTGAGCAAGTGTCAGGGGAATCAGCCCCCGACAGGTAGACCCCCCAGGAGCTTGATACACTGGTACAGACCGAGCCCCTCAAGGGCACAGCCTGTGTTGGTCTGAGCCTCTGTGCTCCCAAGCTTCTGGCACATGGCATGTGCTTACTGTGGCCCGAGTGAATGTATCACTAGACTTTGTCTGGGACAGGAGGAATTAGGGTGACATGGCTTCCATCCCCCTGCCTGCATGCCCAGGCCGTGGAGCGGCTGATCCACCCTCAGCTCTGTAAGCTGTGTATCGAGGCGCTGGAGCGGCACGTCATCCAGGCCGTCAACTCCAGCCCCGGGCGGGCCGGCGAGGAGGCCCTGCATGCCTTCCTGCTCGTGCACTCCAAGTTGCTGGCTTTCTACTCCAGGTGAGCCCCAAGACCCCTCACATTCACCCTTTCTTCCAACCCCTTCCTGAAAAGCACCACCTCCTGGGCCAGGGAAACCTTCCAGACCCATCACTTCCAGGAAGCGTTGGTTCTTAGATTCTTAGTTCTTCATCCCCCTCAGTTCACTCCCCTCTCTGATTTATTCCTTCCTGGAATACTGTCTCAGAGTCTGAATTTAGGGTTTCCTGATACGCCATTCCTGGTCCCTGGTGGTTTTCCACTGGTCATTTTTTTTTTCAACACAGCCAAGTTTTATTTTTAAAACTGAATGAGTTCATTAATTTTGTATATCCATGTCTTTCTCAGAAGAGGATAAAGTCAGCTGGCATGTTTATAAACTGTGGAGGGCAGGGATCCTGCCCCAGACCCCCTTACCTGCCTTGTCCCACCCACTGCCACCTGTGGGCAGGGGCCGTGGGCACGTGCTGACCGGGTACCTGTCCTCTCCACAGCCACGGTGCTGGCTCCTTGCGCCCAGCCGACCTCCTGGCCCTCATCCTCCTGGTGCAGGATCTCTACCCCAGCGAGAGCACAGCGGAGGACAGCGACCCCCAGGTCTCTCTCAGGGCAGCACTCTGGGCAGTGGGAGGCCACCAGAAAGGCGACTTGGATGGCCAGCCCGGAGAGCGCTGGAGAGGCAGCTGGGGAGACTGGTTTCTAAGTCTCAGTCCTGAATGTGTGGTTGGGCATGACTTTTCTAACTGCTTTCAGGTGCAGGGAATTCTAGAAGGCAGGTGGATTAGTGGGTTAAAAGTGCAGGTTTCCGGAGTCACATAGTCCCAGCTCCGCCACTTAGCTGTTTGCTGTGCAAGTACTCACTCCATCGGAGCCTCAATTTCCTCATCTGTGCAATGGGACAACCATGGCATCTACTTCTCAGGGTTGTTGTGAGGAATAAAGGTGGCAGTTTACTTGGAGCCCCGCGGTGCCTGGGGCATAGTGAAACGCTCAGTAAGTGCTGGCCAGCGTGGTTGCCACACCATCCTCCTCATCAGTGACAGTGTGGCAGTGATTTGGATGCCAATTTGTTGGACTTTGTAGAATTTCTGTGGTTCTGGAGAAAGACTAGAAGTGAAACATCCCTGGGAAGTGAGGGCGTGCACTCAGGGCTGTGCAGTGGAGTGGGCGCAGGGGCTGCTGAGTCCCCTGAGGGCTGTGCCGTGAAGCGCTGGGAGGAAGAGAAGCCAGTCAGGCAGCTTTAACTAGCATCCGCGGGCCTGTCCTGTCACAGCCTTCCCCACGGAGGCCCCGCCGCAGCCAGAGCATCCCCGTGCAGCAGGCCTGGAGCTCTTGTTCTGCAGACCCAACCAGGAATTCGGGGACCGTATGTGCTTTATACTGCGGGGAGGGGCCAGGAGGGAAGAGGAGGGGACGGTCTGCCTCTCCTCGGAGAGAAGGGTCCAGGGCTGAGCCCCCTGGGAGAGCCTCTCCGTAAGCCCTCAGCCCAGGTGCGCCTTCTCTCTCCCAGGAGACAGACAGCCTCTCCCCCATTGAGGAGTACTTCACACCAGCTCCTTCCCCCGGGGAGCAGAGTTCAGGTGAGACCTACAGTGGAGGAGGGACCCTGGACGGTGAGGGGGAGGAGGTGGGTGCCAACTGGTAGCCCTGGGAATCTGTCCTAGGGGTCAGTGGATCCCAGTGCCCTGTAAGAGCCCAGGCGCAGACACCCACATTCCTAGAGCCCAGGACGCTGTCTGCTGCAGCCTCTCTGTCTGTCTTGCCAGCTCCAGCTTGAATTCAAGGACTATTGAGGCTACTTCAGTGACCCATAAAACTTTTTATGACAAGTCGATTTCATTTAAAAGTTCAACTCGCATATGTGTGCTCTCACCACCTTTTGTAGTTAATAAGTAATCAGCTAATTAATAGTTTATTTCCAGCACAGTGGTTTAAAATATCAGTATTCAATCTGTATAGTTTATACCTTACTTCCAAAGTATGTGGACAAACAATTTTAAAAAAACCCAAGAATGTTTGAAATATTATTAACAAAGCAAAAAAGGAGCCTGGGACCTCTGAGGCCACGTGGCAGCTCATCTCTGCTTGTCCACTTCTCCAGGGCCAAGGTCACAGCTCTCCTGGGTTTTGTAAGCTTGCCACAAGCCCAAACACATCAGAAAGCGCTACTTTGGGGTGATGGCTGAAGTTCCGTTTTCTTCTCACTGCTTCCTCCCCTTGTTCCTCCTCCTGACCCCTTTCTCTCAGAAAGAGTTTTTTCATGCCTCAAAGCTGTAAATAATTCCTGTTCACAGTGCACAGAAGTCACAGCTTACAAACGGCTTGAGTTGCTCTCATCCACTTTAAGTCAGGTGTTTGAAACACAAATACAGGCTTTCCCCAAGAAACGCGATTATAAATGTTGGTTTTTTGCAGTGAAATATACAAGAGAACACAATTAGTACAAAGCTATAATATTTCAAATATGTACTTGGTTCAGTAGTTTTTGTGAGCTGTCCTAGGAAGGGAAATCTAGTTCAGTTCCCAGCACACAGTAGGTACTTCAGTAAAAGTTTGCTGATTGACTAAATGAGCGGGGAACTGTAGACTGTGCTGCCTCCCAGGGAAGAGTGAAGAGGCACTGTTATAGCCAGAGAGGGGCTCAAAGGGGCAGAGAGGACAGAGACAGGGAGGGGGCTGGGGGCTGAGGAGGGGTCTGAGGGACCTGCCCCACCACTGCGAGGCCCAGGGACGGGAGCTCGTGCCCAGCAGCCAGCTTGGGGGTGGGGAGGCGGGGGGCGGGCAGGGGTGCCTCTCTTCCCCAGCCCAGGCTGCGCTAGCTGTGGTTCCATGGAGGGAGCTTGCCCTGCACCCGCCAACTTGGGGTAGAATGAGAAGGGGAAGGCTCTCCAGTTCACACTGAGGTGCTCTGCCCAGTGAAGTGCTGTGAGCTGCCAGCGCGGGAAGGGCCTCTTTTCCATCCTCCCCTGCTGACAGGCTGTTGGGCTGGTATTTACATCTTCCCACTATTTCTGTCATCCTGTTATCATCTACGGTCTGTCTGCAGGTAGCACCATCTGGCTGGATGGGGGCACCCCACCTACTGACTCTCCCCACATCCAGGTGAGTTTCTCCTGGGGGCCCAGGGCGCTTGGCCAGGGTACCAGCTGATCCGAGATGCTGCAGAGGGTCCTGGGGACTCTGAGGGTTTCTCCTGGGGTGACTCTCCAGCCACGCCGGTCTTCCTGGTGCTGTCTCACGGCTGTCTGGCCAGTGCAGGGGGCAGAACTCAGCCCAGAGGTGAGGGCCGGGGGTAGGGTGAGGAGTGGTGGGTGAGGGTGGCCTTCTCCCTCCCTCCACCCCTCCCCCAGACACACAGCCTCCACTTCTGAGAAATCCCCACCCTCACTGTACTTAGTGAAAGTCTAACTTAATTTTTAATGGTTTTTGTTTTTTTTTTTAAATAAGAGAGTAAATATGTTCACTGTAGAAAAATTGGGGAAAACAGAAGTAAAATATGGAAAAGGAATAAAAATCACTCAGTCCCAACCCCAGATGTTAGCTTCTGTTGAACACTTTTGGAGTGTTTCCTTCGAGGCTTTCCTATGACTTTATAAATGTATTTATATACACACACACACACATATTTATTTTTTCTTTTGCCCAATTTGAATCCTAACGCTCTTCATTATTTTTTGTTTTGAGCATTTTCCCATTGACGAAGCAGTCCTTGGCAATGTGGTTTTTAACGAGACTATTCAGAGTCCATCGCCTGCATTATGTTATTATTTACTTAGCAAATGCTTGGAACAGCCAGTGCGTTGCATCCAGTCCTTTGCTGTCGTCGTAAGACTACCGTGACTTACTTACAAAGAAGCTTTTGTGGCATCCCTAATGATTCCCTTAATTTTCCGCTTCTGCCCACTGAAGACTCTTACTCAGAGCCCTCCTGAGGCTGGAGTCTTCTCACTTAGTCCTGGAAGCCCTCACTTGTACCTTTAGAATGACTTTCGGAGGTCTGGAAGGCAGTCAAATGATCAGCTGTTAGTAGGCTTTAAACCATTTTTGTATATGAAGTTGGGGAGGAGCCTCCCCCCCCAGCTCATGCCATCCCATCTGCTTTTCCCACTTTCCTTTCTTCCTTTTCCCCTTTCTTACTACCCACTACCTCTGTGTGGCGTCCAGTCCTGACTGTACAGAAGGGCCCCAAAGATGCTGAGAGAGACAGACAGACAGCAGGATGGGAGCTGCCAGGGGAACCTCAGCAGAAGGCCAGCATTTAGGAACTGGGACTTTGGGGGCTAGAAGAGTTTGTCCCTCGAGGTTCCGAGGGAGACAGCAAGTGGGCAGCTGCAGGGGGGACCCAGCCTGGGGAGGACGCCCGACGACTGCCCCTCCTCTCCCGCTGACAGCTCCTCTTCCTCCCCAGATGGCTGAAGACACCCTCCAGACGCTGATCCCTCCCTCCCCAGGACCCTCTGGCCCCAGAAGGATTTTCCTGGATGCCAGCGTGAAAGACAACTACTGCCCCATGGTGCCACACACCATGTACTGCCTGCCCTTGTGGCCAGGCATCAGCTTGGTGCTCCTGACCAAGGTATCAGCGCCCCCGCCTGCCCTGGGGCCGTCCCGGCCTGGACGCCCGCCCCACGGCCGCCCTGCGCGTCTCCCCTCAGTGCCCCAACACGCCTCTGGCCCTGGCCCTGTACCAGCTGTTGGATGGGTTTTCTCAACTGGAGAAGAAGCTAAAGGAGGGGCAAGAGGCTGGGAGCGCCTTGCGGTCAAACCCCATCATGGCGGACCTCCGCCAGAGGATGGACAAGTTTGTCAAGAATCGAGGGGGCCAAGAACTTCAGGTGAGATGCAGGCCCCGGATGCCCCACCTCGGGGAGGGGAGGCAGGGCCTGTTCTTGTCACACCCGAGAGGCCAAGGCTCAGGGGAGGGGGCCGGCCTCCGCCCCACCCCCACCAGGGGACCATGCTCCTGATCCCCCACAACACAGCAGTGCCCTTGATGTGTCCTAAACATTCTTGTGTGACTTTAGCAGAACACGGGTTCCAGCTCCTGTGATTCAGATGAGGAAACCAGGGCAAGACGCAGATAGACGGTGATTTAGCCAGAGTTACCAGACGGGTGAGTGGTGGAGGAAGAGCCCAGCTCTAGGGCTCAGTAATGGCCAGTGGTCGACCCACCGTGCCCCTCACCACGGGGCTGGGCTCACAGGCTTCAGGACACAGGGAGGCCGTTCCACCCACAGGGGGCTTAGAGCCCAGGTGGGGTCATGAGGCCCAGACACAGGGACAGTATCTGAACAGAGGAGGAAACCAGGTGCAATCCAGGCAGGAGCCGAGGAGGGACGCGCCAGAGGAGAACCCTGGGCTGAGATCGGAGGCCGTTCATGTAGCTGGCAGGGCTTGGGTTTGTTTGAGGAACTGAGATTCATTGCAGCTGAAGTTTGCACTGGTTTGAAAATAAGCAGGGGATTAGATGAGGCAGAGCAGGCGACTGAAGCCCAGTCAGTCCACAGTGCCCCATGTCTCTTGGTGCCCGGCACGCCCCAGTGAGGTCTCAGGAGGCAAAGATGCCTGAAGGGGATCAGCACCCCCGCCCTTGCCTGCAGCCACCCCACCCTCAAAGCACTGACCTGTCTCTCTGACAGCACTGGTTTACATGTCTGCCAGCGAGGCCAAGAGCCTGGGACTCGAACCCAGAAGCTGCTCTTTAAGTAAAAGCCTGCTGAGTGACTAGACCATGGTGTACAGTGGGCTGCAGCCTGCTGGGGGCCCTGCCAGAGACCCAGCCTGGCTGTGGACAGCAGCTGTGTGCTGGGCCTAAATAAGCCATGGAGATGGGGAGCCTTCTAGAGCCCGACATCAGAGCTCCCCTGGACCTCACTGTGGAAACACTGTCAGGAAGACACCTGTCACTTGTCTGCTTACAGAGAACCTGGCTGGAGTTCAAGACCAAGGCCTTCTCCAAAAGTGAGCCCGGCTCATCCTGGGAGTGAGTGGTGGGCTCTGAGGTCAAGGAGGGCATCGTTTGGACAAGGGGGCAGGTTTCCTCCAGGTCCAGGAGGAAAAGATGCTTGGACAGAGGGGGTCCTGGGAGGGCGGGTCCAACCCCCACGATGCTGAGGGGAGGCTGGGGGCAGAGAAGACAGAAGTTGAAGAGCAGGGCCTGAGGACCCAACGCCACTAGCAGAGACCCAGGTTCCGCACGGACCCAGCGTGACCTTGGGCAAATCACTGCACCTTGTTTCTCCATAAAATAAACCAGAAGGTTGGAGGTGATTTGAATTTCTCAGAGCCCCATGCTGGGGGAAAATGGAAGCTGACTCCCAGCTCAGTGAGGGCCAGGGTGTAGTTCATCAGCCGCATCCATCAGTCCAGGAGGAGGGTGACCACAGGGATGGGGCACCGTCCTGGGTGCGGCCCTCCGGGATCCTTCCCTCTATGACAGTTCATCTCTGGCCCCCAGTCTGCTCCATGCGTGCAGGAAGGTGAAGCGGCAGCTATGTGTTGTCTATCGGTTCAGCTTCCTGACCATGACCCCTGGCTGTGGGTGCCCCCACCTGCCCCAGCACCTGCAGGACCAAGTCCAGACGCTCATGCAGTAAGTGGCGGTGTGAGCCCTTGACGGCTGGGGCGGGCGCCGGGCACGCCTCACCCTCCTGTTCCCCTGCTCCCTTGGCAGGGAAAAGCTGGCGGACTGGAAGGACTTCCTGCTGGTGAAGAGCAGGAGGAACGTCACCATGGTGTCATATCCTGATGCCCGGCCCTGGGCTGCTGCCTCCTCTGCCCACTCACTTGAAGGATAGCCACTTTAGGGAAAGAGACCACATAGTTCGCATCTCAGCTTCCTTTTGCTGAAGAAAGTGAGGAGACTTTAGTGTCCTGGAAGTGTCCTATCTGTAGGAATGCTCTGAGGCTGGAATTTCGGAAATCCCTGGCATCCCACGATGACTTCATAGAGATCATCTGTGTAGGTGTTGTCCAGCCAGCAAAGTGGCAGTAGGTCTCCCAGGAGGGGCAGGGGCCTGGGGTCAGATAGGTTTGAGGGGCTGAGTCCCCCCTCCTTAGATGCTTCAGTACAGTGGAGTATGAAGGCTCTGAGAAGGCCAGCAATAAATGTGTTTATTGGTCCCTATTTAAAAGCCATATCCTTAAGACTTACCCTTTTATCAGAGAACTAGTTTTATCAAATACTGGTCTTCCCTGAAACTTTATATGAGAGTCTTTTTCAGTATTAAAATTTCCTGAGACTTCGGTCTTCAGCATGCAGGTAGAAGGGGTGACAGAGGGCCTTGCCAGCCTCCAGCCACTGCCCGTCCTCTCAGAGGACCCTTCCAGCTCAAGATGAGGCGTAGAGATGAAGAGGACTGTGGCGAGGCATGTGGGTGGCGGCCAGTGGGGCTCACTCTCAGCTCTGTAGCTCTGCTCACCCTGGCCTCACCATGTGTGTCATTTAAACCCATTCAGCCTGAAGATGGTAAAACATAAGCATGCTGTGTTCCTTGGGAGCAGAACTCCCGGCGTTCAATGTGCCAGAGCCGGAGATCCATTGTACTTGCATCTTAGACCTTCTCGGGGTTGGGAGTTCAAAGGGAAAGTGAGACCTGGGAAAGAGGGTATCCTGGGAGGGTGGCTGAAAAGGAAGCCTATGGGGCAGGGGGGTCAGTGCTTGAGAAGCCTAGGTGGATGGAGGAGCTCCTTCCCTGGTTCTGGCTTCAAAAGCACCTTAACTCAGCCCCTTACCTTCCTGGAAGACTTCCCAGGCCTAGTGCATTTCATCTACGTGGACCGCACCACTGGTCGGATGGTGGCCCCTTCCCTCAGCAGCAATGAAAGGACTTCATCGGAGCTGGGCAGGGGGCCCCTGGCCACCTTCGTCAGAACCAAGGTAACCTGGCCCAGCCCAGGCACTCTCCCTGCGTGTCAGACAAGGTGTGCCTCGACCCCTGCCTAGGAGGGCTAGTCCCCGCCCTCGAGCCCCCAGGAAACTCCGAGCACCCCCATGGGAACCCTTACTGCATTCTTCCTACCTCTGCGTCCAGCTTTGTAGGCTCCTAAGAGAATGGTCCAGTCTTTGTCACCCTAGGGCCCTGGCCAGTGTGTGGGGCCACCTCCCCAAATGTGTTAATGTTCCTGGAGCAACAGTGTCTGGGTAGTGAGGCCAGGGGGGGAATGGCTGGGTCCCAGTAAGGGTTTGTTGAGTTCACTAAGACAGAAAGAGGACACACAGGTTAATGGATTTGAGTATCAGGATGAAAAGGTAGGTTTCTGCAGAGGAAACAGTCTCCAGGGCTCCTTTATTTTCTTTGATTCATCTTCATGGCAAGCTAGTATTTTTGCTGGGGAGGCCTCTGCCACGTTATAAAAAGCTATATTTTATACATATATAATACATAATAGGTTACTATGTATTATACATGTTACATATATTTTACATTATTATATATTATATATGTATATTTTATATATCCAAGTAAAGTGTGTCCATAATGGTGAAAACAAGGTCACTGACAGCCCATTGGAGACCCAGCTCTGCCCCTCACTAGTTGTGTGGCCTGGGGCGGTAGGGAGTCTTAAGTTTCAGTTGCCTCTTCTATAAAAGAGAACAGTAACACCAGTAACGTCGTGGAGTTAGTGCACAGATTACAGATGCACACACACGGTGATGCGCAGCTCATGGCACCGAGTGTAGTTGGGGTTGGTTGAGCATTTCCTGGGACCATCCACACTGGCATCTTCATCTCCTTCCAGGGTAGCTGGGGTTATCTTGGTACATTTCTCTCCGTCGTTTTCCTGTGCAGTTTGTTGTAGTTGAGGTCATCCTTCATATGCAGTGTGTTTCCTGCATTTTTACTTCACTTTGTATCTGGTGCATTTCCTCATGTCATTAATTCTTTATCAACATGATTCTCATCAGCTCTGCAGCAGTCCATCATGGGAACGCAGCATCATGTACTTAGCCATTTCCTCAGTGTTGAACACTGAGATTGTTTGCAGATTCTATCGTAAATAATTCTGGGGCACACACTTCTAGGCATTTATCCTTGTCCTCATCTCTGATTATTTTCTCAATATGGGTTCCCGGAAATGGAATTATGAAGTCAAGTGGGAGGAGTTGTTTTTAAGGTTATTGATATCCGTTGTTGAATTGCTTTCCTGAAAAATAGAGCAAGTCCATGGTATTTGTTTGCATTTAATTAGATGCTGTGTGTGATCAAGTTGGGAGTGGCTCGTGTACACCTGTCACAGAGCGCCTTGGTCGGAGTGCAGCAGGCCTTGGCCAGCCCTGGGAGGCGGGGGGTGGGGGCAGAGGTGCCCCCTGCTGCCAGCGCCTCTCAGGCAGCTCACCGGCAGCAGCAGAAGTCCTTGAATCAGGGAGGAGAGCCTCGCAGAGAGGACCTGAGCCACGTTGGCCCCCGGTCACCGTGTTCCCATTGGGGCCCTTGGTGAGCCCTCATTCAGACTTCACCTCCAAGCAGGGCATGTCCCAGGGCCAGGGCACTGTGCATCCAAACACTTTTCTAGCGCTTTCCTGGCATAGAGCCACGCCAGAGATCCTCAGCCCTGAGGGGGTCCATGTGAGCCCTCGACATCAGAAGTGTTCCAGGTGGCCACCCTCTCGTCTCTGCTTGTGTCCCTGGCTCTGTTCTGGCCTGAAAAATGAATTTGCTACTATATAGCTTGTGTATATAGTGAAGATTCATAAAGTGTTGATACGTATGTTTTGTCCTTGCAGTAGTGAGAGGGATAGGTAGTCCGTCCATCTATCCATTGTCCGTTTATTACTAAGCTCCTGCCCTGAGCCAAGGCTGGGCCCAGGCACCAAGGAGGAAGATGAGCAGGAGAGGCCCCTGGCCTTCCAGGAGTCCTCCTCCAAGTGCTTTTTTTCACTGGGATTTGAGAGCCGGAGCCCAGCCCCCGGCGTGGGGCGAGGGCCACCCTCAGGCTGCAGACGTAAACACCATCCCCTCCCCCAGGTCTGGTCTCTGATCCGACTGGCGCGCAGATACCTGCAGAAGGGCTACACCACGCTACTGTTCCGCGAGGGGGATTTCTGCTGCTCCTACTTCCTGTGGTTCGAGAATGACATGGTGGGTGTGGCTGGCCCGGGCAGGGCAGTCCTGCAATTCTCCCTTTCTCCTGGATTCTGTTCAGTCTGTCTCTCCAGCTGTTCTTGTCACCAGTGGGACTGACAGCGAAGCCCAGCCGGTTGGGACCCAGAGCTCAGGTCCGCCTTTGCAGTCAGGCTCTGTGACCCCTGCCCCCAGTTCTCTGAAAAACTCACGCTGTTGTTCAAGAGGCATCCAGGTAACACATGAACAGACCGCCATGCCCCGTGTGAGCAAGGATGCTCAGCCCACACTTTCTGCGGCAAAGCCTCGCTTCCTCTTCCCACTGCTGAGACAGGTAAATGGAGGCTGAGAGCAATTGAGCAACCTGCCCAGGGCAAAGCTGCTCACACCTCTCATGCCCTGCTTCTGCCCCTGGCAGCACGCCCTCCTTCCCCTCAGCCTGAGGTCGCGGCATCCCTTTCCATGGTGCAGTGTGGCTGTTGGGGTCTTGCCGCTCTCACAGCCTCACACCTATACAGCCCATGTGTTGGGTGGGATGAGTGTCTCCGATCCCATTTTGCAGATGGTGGAACTGAGGCCCTGAGATCAAACACCACGGCCAGGGCACCGAGGTCCTAAGTTATGACGTCAGAACCCAGGCTTGGCTTCCTGACCTGCAGGCTCCCATCTTTGCTCTGTGCCCTCCTCAGAGGTGCCCAGGACGTGGGGCTGAGCATCACCTCAGCCTCTAGGGAGAGACAAGGCTCTCTGTGTGTGTGGTTGGCCTCATGGGGTAATAGGCGGGTGGGTACAGGACTGCAGGAACCCCATGACGCCACCTGGCACATGGTGGGAGCCCAGCAGAGCCTGAGTCACTACCCCAGCGTGTCCTTCCCTGGGATTCCCAGTCCTTGCAGGGAGAGACTTGGCCTTTGGTTACAGTTTGCTCTTACCGACACCTCCCCAGTCGCCATCCCTCACACTGAGCCAGGTGCAGTGGTTGGTGGGAATGAGAGCTACCACCGTGGTGCCCGCTATGGCCCCAGGAACTTTATGTTCATCACATCTAATATTCTTGGGAGTTTATTCTTACCCCCAGTTCACAGATGAGAAGAGAGGGTAGAAAGACATCAGTGCATTTTCCCAGCACCAACCACTTGCCAATCAGGGCTGAGCCGGGCCTCAGACCCACTAAGTCTGACTCAGGCCCATGGTCTTCCCACCATGCCGACCGCCTCCCCACTCACGAGGCTCCTCCTCCTCCCCCAGGGCCACAAACTCCAGATCATGGAGGTGCCTGTGCTGTCTGATGACTCCGCTCCCGTCGGCATGCTGGGAGGAGACTACTACAGGTGACGCCGACCCAGAGGGCCACTGGGGACAGAGGGGGACAGATGGCAGATGATAAGTGCCCGTCTCAGCAGAGGGAGTAGCCCCTCCTTGAGGAGTGTTTCCTTACCCCCCACCCCCGCCCCGAGCCCGCCCTCCTTGTTAGAAGCTCCTCACGGCCCAGCACTCAGAGGAAGAGAGTGGGGTGCTCTTGGGGTTCCTCCCCTCCTGTTGCACACCGAGACAGCATTTGCAGCTGTCTCTGCTGGGCTCCTGGGACCCTCCCTAGCTGGCTCTGTGGCCCCATAGCTGGGGCCCTGCTGTCCAGGGTTGGGATTCCAGGGGGTGGGCCGTGGCGGCCTGGGGCTGAGCCTCAAAAATGGGGAGTCAGCAAGGAGCAAGGAAGTCCCTTCCAGCCTGGTGCTGGAGTCCAGTGAGGGACCTCATGCCCATGTGGTGCTGGGAGAGGCCCCTGGCCCGGCTCCCTCCTGAACGCTGTCCTCCTCTCCCTCTCCCCCAGGAAGCTCCTACGGTGTTACAGCAAGGGCCACCCGGCCGAGGCTGTCGGCTGCCATGAGCTGCTGACCCTCCACCTGTCGGTTGTACCCACGGACGTGCTGGTGCAGCAGGCCGGCGAGCTGGCCCGGCGTCTGGGCGAGGCCTCCCACGTTCCCCTGCTCTAGAACCAGAAGGGCTGCCCTGTGCATCGGCCTGTGCCCCGGTTCCCCAGGCCTGCCTGGCTCACAGACAGCGCCATGGCAAGAGCCTCCTCCTGTCCACGGCAGCCCCAGGGATGGCACTGTCCCCAGGGCAGCCCCAGGATGTCTTAAAGAAACTCACTTAGAGCCACCTCCATTGTGGATAATGAGCAAACCCCCAAAGCCTGCCTTCTGGAGAAAGAAGAGGGCCAGTCTCCTTAGAGCAGCTGTGAATGTGGGCTTAGACCCAGGGCCTCCCCACTTTGGGAACCACCTCTGCATTCACCCCAGGAGACCGACAGGAAGCGCCCAGCTCTTGGAGTGGAGAGAGCGCCTCAGGAAGCTGTCTCCTCCCCACGTGAAAGGTGCTCCCCTGGCTGGGTTGAGCTCTGGCTCTGCTATGTCCTCGCTGTGGCTCTGGACGGGTGTCCCCCACCTCTGAGCCTGTCTCCCCACACACAGTGTGACTGCGCCCCCGTCAGGACGGTTGTGGGGCTGCAGGACGGGCGGCAGGCAGGCAATAAATGCTGGTCACAGTTACTGTTGGGGTCCCAGCCCCTGGCCCGTCTTGGTGGCCTCTTTGTTCCCTTCTTGGTTCTCGGTCCTGCCCCAGCCCTGCCCTAGAGGTCCGTGTCACTCAGTCCCACGGATCCCAGGCTGTGAGGCTTCTCAAAGCTTCCCGGGGAGGGGGCGGGCGGGGCGGGGGTGGTCCTGGTGTGCCCTGGATTGAGAGCGCTGCCCTGGGTGCAGCCCCTGACCTGAGAACAGACACAAGGACAAGAGGCCGGCAGGGCCTGGGACCTGGGAGCGCCCACTACTCAGGCTGAGAGGCCACGGCTGGGACGGAGGAAAGAGAGGAGGCGAACGCAAGCACGGCGCAGTGGAGCCGAGGGTTCACGTGTGACACCAGATGAGAGCTGAATTTCACGCAAAGACTGGTCTTTCCCTTGAAGTGAGCAGCTTGCGGGGTCATGGGTACTGAAGAAGCTAGAACCACACCTTGGGCTAAAGGCCTCAGAAGGTGGCGGTGAGGGAGTCAGGCGTGACGGGGACTGCCTTCCTCCTCAATGTCCTGACGCCACCAATGGGAATTACCCCACGACTGTGGAAAATACAGAAGAGCAAAAGGGGAGGAACTAAAGCCTAGACTCCACTCTTCTCACCTACTATTTTCCTTTACCTGTTAACCGCTATGTGATGTGGCAAGTCCAGTTTAACCAGTGTTTTTAGTTTTTCAGTTTTATAAATAATACTGAGGAGAAGGTCCTGACTTGTATTTTAGCAGAGACACACAGAGTGTAACTTTTCCATGGTGTGTGGAGGGGTGTCTGAGTTGAGAGTAGAAATGTCCCCAGGAGTCCCTCTTACCCAGAGGCAACTTTCCACATTTTCTCCTAGTTGTGAAATGCACTTCTAATAGTGGGTTTCTAGAAGGCTGACAGATGTCAGAGGTGTACAGAGACTCCCAACCCCTAGGGTGCTTTTATCCTACAAGAGGAAAGAGAGGAGGCGAACGCAAGCACGGCGCAGTGGAGCCGAGGGTTCACGTGTGACACCAGATGAGAGCTGAATTTCACGCAAAGACTGGTCTTTCCCTTGAAGTGAGCAGCTTGCGGGGTCATGGGTACTGAAGAAGCTAGAACCACACCTTGGGCTAAAGGCCTCAGAAGGTGGCGGTGAGGGAGTCAGGCGTGACGGGGACTGCCTTCCTCCTCAATGTCCTGACGCCACCAATGGGAATTACCCCACGACTGTGGAAAATACAGAAGAGCAAAAGGGGAGGAACTAAAGCCTAGACTCCACTCTTGTCACCTCCTATTTTCCTTTACCTGTTAACCGCTATGTGATGTGGCAAGTCCAGTTTAACCAGTGTTTTTAGTTTTTCAGTTTTATAAATAATACTGAGGAGAAGGTCCTGACTTGTATTTTAGCAGAGACACACAGAGTGTAACTTTTCCATGGTGTGTGGAGGGGTGTCTGAGTTGAGAGTAGAAATGTCCCCAGGAGTCCCTCTTACCCAGAGGCAACTTTCCACATTTTCTCCTAGTTGTGAAATGCACTTCTAATAGTGGGTTTCTAGAAGGCTGACAGATGTCAGAGGTGTACAGAGACTCCCAACCCCTAGGGTGCTTTTATCCTACATGGGGAATGGCCTAACCAGTGGGTAGGGAGCAGAGGGGCCCCTAATTCAGGACAGGGCACAGGAGAGTGAGCACTTAGCTGAACCTTTTTACAGATGTGGTCTTTAAATCCTTGAGGATTCTTGGGAAATGAGAGAGGTACCAAAATATGCAAGAAAAATGTTCAGACCTTCAAAAGAAAAAGGCAGACCCCAGAATCACAGAGAACTGAACTAACCCCCCAAACCTTTCCAGCTTTGAAAGCGTGTGAAGCGGATGGCATTAAAGCATTTGGGCAAGGACGCGGGGTTCTCTGGATGTCCCTGGGGCAGATTGCCCCCCTCCCCCTGCAGTGTTGCAGAGGCCCCGGTCCTTCAAGCAGCAGGTCCCTGAGCCTGCTGCAGGCATAGAGCAACTACCCTGTTACAAGCCGGAAGGACCGGAAGTTGGACCTGAGTCCATCTCTTTACTTGGATTCCCACCCCCAGCTCATCCTGGACATTGAATTCCTTAATGAAAAGCAGGACAGCGCAGGGGAGGGGACGGCCCTTTGGAACACACTTGTACACATGCGCGTGCACACACACTCATCTGAGCCTCAGTGCTCCCCGTCTGGGGCCCACATGAGGGGTTGCACGACTGGTCGGCACAGCGCCTGGCACAGCAGAGCCCTGGAGAATGAGCAGTACAGTGATCGCTCTGGAGGCGCAGGACCTCTGCCAGGTCAACAGGTGACCGCCCATGACTCTGCCCCGGGTGGACAGGCCAAGCCGCGGGCAACTCAGTGTCCCCTTTTAGTCGTGGCCCAGGGCCAAATACGGCAGCTGGGCTGCAGCTCCTCCTCTTCCTCCTCCCTGCTCCTCCCCCTGCCTGGAGAGGCACAAAAGGCTGCTTGCAAGCAAATTCCCAGCCTAGTCCTAGGCAGAAATGACCGCATATGGCCGAGGGCTCAGCAGGGCCATGGGTGCCTCTCCCCACCCCGCATGGAGACGAGCTCTCTCGGACACCAGGGGACGCCTGAAGCCTGAGTACGATGCAGTGGTGGTAGGCGCAGGTAAAGCGGGCTTGGCTGGAGTTGAGGGGCCAGAGGGCAGCCTGCTCAGAATCCTGGTGGGGGGGGGGGGGGGG